AAAACATATTGAACATGGCATAATGTAATTAACAAAGAGAAGAGTTTAGGGACGCAAATCTGGTTATGGAGTGTAAATTCCCTCTTCTCCTTGGTGATTGCATTGAGGCTTTGATCTTTGTGATTCCACAGGCTTACTCTTGAACTGGTTTCTGCCCATCGTTGATTTTCCTTTGTGCTACTTCTTGAACTGGGCAGCAGGATGGTTCTTTTGGTTTCCCCGAAGGTCTGAGCTTCCTCCTGTTATCTGTTTCTTTGTTCAATCTTTGCAGGAGTGGTCCCTTCTCTGGAAGTGTAACAACCGTTGAAGATGACTACTCGAGAGCAACGCTAGGTAAGCAATCAGGAATAGATTCCAGGCAGTTGGCTCCAGATCGGAAGACTGACTCCAAGTGCCGGCTGATTGCTTCTTTTACTTTGCCATGCAAGTAAGAACAAGGACAAAGAAAAAGACAGGGAAAGAGCATGATATGAGATACTTTTGCTTTTGACCTTGATGATATGAGATACCTTTGCTTTGAAGAAGCGGTGAATGAATCAGCGCATGCTTCAATCCGCCGTTTCCTCCTGGGTCATATGTACTCCAGGCATCTGGTATCATCTTTGGGGAAGAAGAAAGAATTGAGTATTTTGAAAGGCTTTGCTGGGAGTGCGCCCTCAGAGGTGAGGGAGAGTTGGGCATTTTCTTCAGGTTTGCCCTGCCATAAAAGACGAAGGTCGACATATATAGAGATAATATCAAGTGGTGGTACTTTTTACCCTTGTCGACAAACGTTTTGATCCCGCAAATCCGGCTCTTTGAAATAGTGGCGCCTCTTCGATCTTTGAATACGCCTCTTCGATTTCTGAGCAGGCGCCCCTTCGATTTCTGAACGACGCCCCTTCGCTTTCTGAACGACACGTGGTAGTGCAGATGCGGCTCCTTTTGACAAAGATGCACGCGTCTTCTGAAAAGCAGAGAAAGCGTCGCCGAACTTTGCGCTTGTCGGCTAAAGATGTGTAGATGCGATGATGGCCTCCACGTGTTTTCAGCTTTGTCAGAAATCTTTTGACAAAGTTGAACGCGTTTTCTGAAAAGCTGAGGGAGCGTCGCCTAAATTACGCCGGAAAATCCGGCTCTTTGAATCGGTGGACGCGTCGTCTTGGCTTTTTATAGAGCTATCAATCACCCCAACACACACACTCTGAAGATTTCCCATTCCTGAAACTCGACTCCGGCCCTTTGTGAAATTTTAACTCCATCCACCCCTTCTCTTTGAACACTTTTGAAAAAAATGGCAAACTCATCGAACCTTAGCTTAGATTTGAGTCTCAGCAGCGATCCGGTTGCGCCCCGTCAAGGTAATGTATGGCGCCCTTCTTTTTTATCTTCTAACGGTCCTCTTTCAGGTGAAGACTCTGTGATGCAGGACGCCACAACAGCTACAATAGTAGCTAAAAACCTCCTCACTCCAAAAGATAGTAGGCTGCTGTCAGGACGGTCCGATGAGTTGGCCGTTCAAGAGTCCCTCGCACTTAGTGTTCAGTGTGCGAGTTCTGTGTCCAACATGGGCCAACGCCTGCTTGCTCGGTCCCGCCAAGTGGAATCGTTGATGGCAGAGGTGGAAAGACTTAAGCAAGAGATCCAGCAACTTAAGTACGAGAATAGAAGTTTGCATGTGCTTGCAAATAACTATTCGTCGGGGATGAAGAGGAAGCTTGATGAGCTGCAAGAATCTGAGGGTCGAATTCACAGTGACCGTCAAAGGCTTGCGTCTTATCTCCAGAGGCACCTTTTTCCTGGGTCATCCAGCGCTTGGCCAAGTATTGAGGCCTGGAATGCTCTAGCTCCGATGCCTCCCGCTCCGATGGCTTCCGCTCCGATGCCTCCCGCTTCTATGCCTCCCGCTTCTATGCCTTCCGCTTCTGCGCCTCGTAGTGGGGCTTCACGCAAACAACCTTTGTGAAGCTCCACCTTTCTCCATGTTTAGTATCTTTCTTTCTCTTTTTTTTTGTTTTTTTTTTTTTTTTTTTTTTTTTTTTAACATAAATAAAATCAAACATTATGGAATTGGTCCTTGAATGGAAGGTGATACTTGAAGTGAACCGGCTTTGGTTTGAATTCTAATGTAGGTGCCTGATTCATAAAAAACAACAAGTTAGTATAAAATGTAATGGAATTTGAAAAAAATGACTTACTTGTTTTGTCTGACAAGAACTCAATGACAAACACCACTCCTTTGAAAGTTTCAGGGATATTGGACTTGGCCAGATTGCATGTGATGGTTATGACTTGTCCAATGTCATCAAATTCAACTTCTTTGGGCATTGTTGTCTCAAGTATATCCCCTTTGATGAATTCATGAAATTCCCTACTTTGCACCTTTGGAAGGTCTTCCAAGATGTCTTTTTCACTTTCTTCTTCCTTGGAATTCATGAACCTGCAAGGAATAGGGATATTAGGTGGAATGGGGTTAGAACTAATTGGAACAACCTTACTTGAATTAGATGGCGTAGGAGCAATAAGTGCTTCCGGCAAAGGTGCTTCAAATCCTCCCTTCGGATTTACAATGGTTGAACTAGGGAGTTTGCCTTGGTCGCAAAATTGTCCTACGAACTCCGCTATCTGCCCAATTTGCTTTTCCAAGTGATCCAACCTTTTGTCTTCTTGTCGATCCTCATTGTCTTGATTTTGTGAGCCCTGCACCAAACAAATTAATTCGTTAAGCTTTTGATTATAATCTATTGACGAACTTAAATTTGGTTGGGCATATTGAATATGAGGTTGTGGTGGCTGCCAATATCCTCCTTGTTGAGCATTTTGAGGTTCCCACCACATAGAGTTTGAATGATCACTCCAATCCGAATTGTAAGTATTGGAAAACACGTTATTCCTTGATTGAAGATTAGATATATCAACTCTTTGCATTTGGGACCTTTCCATGAGCTGTGACAAAAGAGAAGCGTTATCAAGTGCCATGTTGTTCTTAACAAACAAAACACAAATAAAAACTAAATCTAAAAGACAATACAGAAACAAATAATCCAAGGGATTAGCAAATTTTCTAATCCCCGGCAACGGCGCCAAAATTTGATGCGAGAATTATACGCACACAAATTAAACCCTCTTTTTGTCAATTTGTAGTATAAGTGTAAGTAGGGATCGTTCTGGACCGGGGATTAGGAGGGATTGTTAATCACTTGGATTTGACTCAAAAATGTAAAAACACAATATAAAACACTATACTAGACTCAAAGAATTCAAAAATACTTTAAAACATAAACTAAACAGATTCTAAGCATTAAAGAACAAGAAAGTAAAGGGGGGTTTAGGACTTGACAAAAATTGAAATAACGAAACAAGTTAATAAACTAGACAGAATGTAAATATGAATATGATGAAAGTATGGATGAATGGATGCTAGCCAAGGGGTTCATCTCCACACATGTTACACTTGCATAATAAAATGATTTCCAATTGCATTTCAATAAATCATTAATTCTCAACACTCCAAGTTAATTAGATCCGCTTAAATTAACCTTCAAATCTTCCTAACGTTATTGAATTGGATGATTGCATACGACAACCCAAAACATTCCCCACAAGTCCCCTACATGATTGCATAATAGAGATACAAGCAAGAATCATTACGCTCTATGAAGATTATAAGTTTTGACGAGACATTCGTTACTATGGAATACGCATGAAACTTATGCCAAGAATTCGTTTAACGCGATTGTTTATAAGCAACCTCCACTACTTGTGAATATAAGTTCATAACGATTAGGTGAAATTCACTTATATTCTAGCGTCAAATTCATGCATGAAAATTAAGTGTGCACTCTCAATAAACATACATAAATAGGTTATCAATAAAACAGTTAAACAAATTGAATTCACAACTTATGAAACGTAATTAGAAGTAATCAAATCAAAATGCAAGCATAAACATATATTTCGAATCACCCCCTAGCTAAAGGGGGGTTTAGTTCCTCATACAAAACAAAGAGAATTGAAATTAAACATTGAAATCAAAGAAACACCTAAACATTCCAACAACTCAAACTTGAATTGTATGAACGTTTAGGCCCTCTTCTCTTCCTCTTTATTGTAGCATAAGGTCTAAGGATAGTTGGTTTGGGGGAATGGAAGTGTGGAATGGAGTGAGGAGTGATGGAAATGGAAAGATGGTTTTTGGATTATAAGGGAAGGGGGACTCACGGCTAGGGAAGGGAGAATGTGTTTGTAATGTGTTGTGTATGAAATGAGATGTTCATGAATGAATGAATGCAAGGGTATTTATAGGAGTAGTGGAGGGAACATATGGCTATGTCATTTGTAGGTGAAGTAGGTGGATGTTGTAGGTGAAGTAGGTGGATGTTGTAGGTGAAGTGGATGTTGTAGGTGAAGTAGGTGGATGTTGTAGGTGAAGTGGGTGGATGTTGTAGGTGAAGTAGGTGGATGTTGTAGGTGAAGTAGGTGGATGTTGTAGGTGAAGTGAAGTGGGTGGATGTTGTAGGTGAAGTGGGTGGATGTTGTAGGTGAAGTGATAAGTGATAAGTGATATGATATGTGGTTATGATATGATAAGTGGTTAAGTGGTGATGATAAGTGATAAGTGATTAAGTGATATGATATGTGGTGATGATAAGTGATAAGTGCATGTGGGTTAACTAATGAAGGAAATGCATGTGCAATGACAATGTGTTAGAATGGATGTGTGTTATGCATGGCATGATTGGGATTAGGAAAGGTTTAAATGTCCTAAAACTAAAGAGAACAAGGTTCCAACACTTTGGCTCCAATTAGGTCTTCAATTTCGTCCAACACTTTGGCTTCAAGCATAAGCTATCCGTCCTTAGCCCAAAAGTGCTCCAAAAGTCTCCAAAATGCATCTTTTTGCTCCTTTAGCCCTTTGGACCTATAAACACACGAAAATAGCTTAAAGTACTAAAATAACTAAAGAAACATAACGTAAATGCACGAGAACAAGCCATTTAAGTCGCATGAATATGCTCCTATCATTGAACATCATTAAACATGACGTTCCAGTAAGGCACCTTCTTTTCTTCCTCGGTTGAAGTAATCTGCTGAACAAGAACCTGCATCTAACAAAATCGGTGTTGCATGCATAAGTACAACTAATTGGTAATAAAAATTCAGTAAGTTTATTAAAATTAAAACAAACATGTACTGATTGTTGAGAAAAATGACTGCTATTCAGCTTGGGATGGGACGGATTTAAGTTGGTGTCCCAACGACAAATCCAGGGCAATAACTGAGGGTTCTCCGTCTGCACCCTACCATAGTTTTTGGACTTCAAGTACAGCAAAGTTTCAAACAACCAGATGAACAAAATCTAAAGCACTAATGTAAATAAGTTGCAACAAAAATGAATGCAGAAATTACCTGAAAAACATACGGAAATCCCTTAAAGTTATAAGAGTCCCAGATTGCAACCCCTGGTTTCTCTACAATTTTTTCGTTTACAACCTTGTGCCGGGTCAAAGCAACCGCTAATATGGTTGGCATCAACACCTGGAATGATACGGATCCCGAAGAAAATGTCTTCATTATCTACCAACTGAAGTAGGTGGCATTCAATGGCTGAGTCATTTTCCTTGCCCAAAACAACAAAGTGGACGAAGTATAATAGGCCGAGTTTGCACAAATCTTCTAGCTTATGGAACAAGTTGAATTGATCCTTTAATTGTTCAGGGTTATCTTCGTCAACCCCCTGAAATAGATGTCTCTAAGACAACATTCATCTTTGTTCTCTTTAGGGGGGAATTCTCTGAAATTGAGTCTGGTCACCAAACAGAATTCGCGGCTCCCAAAAATTGTGACATGTTCTCCAAAAAGGAAAAAGATTGAATCATCACTCTTTCTATCCTTAATAGCCAAGGATAGCATAGTGGGTGAGTGCCTAAACCAGTCAATGCAGTCCACATCAACCAAATGACTGAAACAAGAATCCTCAAATTTCTTCAGTAAATCCTTTGAAAATCGGCCTCTAATATTACCCAGACACCCCGAGGCGTATGACAGGTAGGAGATAGTAGCAGGAAACACCTCATCTAGCGGACACACAAGTTTCGACGGAGATGAAGATTTGACTTTTGACATGCAAGATTTTCAACATAAACAAATCAATTAAATAAGATATAACATGTGCACAAGATATGCACAATATATGCTTATTGTCTGCCCAAATTAAATTAGTTCATCAACAAAATACAGCCAAGTATGCCTAACATCAACGCATGCACAGAATATGCATATGATATGCACATAATATGCACATAGTTTCTACCAATTCATGAATAAAATTCAATCGATTATTTCTAGCAATATCAAAAGGATATACACATATTATACATATAGTATGCACAAATTCAACCAATTCATGAACCAAAATCAAGTGTGCCCAACATATAGACATGCATATATTATGCACATATTATGCACGAATTGATGAACAAATTTCAATCAATTAGTTTCCACCAAACCACTTGCACAACATAAACATCAAACAACTTAATAGTACCAAAGACTAAATCACACCCAAAACCGAAAATTCCCAATTTTACAAAATCTTGGTTCAAATAATGAAATTTCATTTCAAAATGTACTTTTTTATTTTTCCATTCAAATTTTTTGAAAGGATGTGCAAATGCACAGCACAAAACCTCTAAAATATATAAAACGGATTCCAAACTTTGTGTCAATTTGAAACTGGGGTGCCAAAGGTTGTGTCGGTCGAAAATGGGGTGGAAAAGGATCATGTCGTTTAGGGTTAGGGTTCTTGGAGCTAAGGGTTGGGCGCCACATATTTTCAAACAATGAGGTAGAAATGCTGACTGGGTTTGACAAATTAACCCATTTAAGTACAAGGACAATTATGTCATTTCAAGGTGTAGAAAAAAATCCTATTTTTGTCCTATGTGTACATATTTGAAAAATCTTATCCCCTTTCGACTCGTTTATGACCCACGACCTAACTACAGACCTGACTATTGCAAATAAATCCTGACGCTTCTCCAGCAATTTTCATACGAATTTTAGCTAGCCACCACCTAGAAACTCATCCCCAACATATCCTCTCCTATTTCCACCAAAAACCCAAGCCATTTTGGCTTCTTTTTCCGGTAAAACAGAGTCGTTACTCTTAGAGTGCTACTATGATGATTCACCGTTCCTGCAGCTATCACCATCAGCCACCATTCTCATTCCACTCCTCTTAACCTTAGGAATAAGAACCAAGCCGAGTTTGTGGCATCGAAGTTCAATTTGTAGACGAATCAACAAATACCCATTTCTAAGATTTCCAACGATCCAAGGAATTTTCAGGCCACTTCCTGGCCGAATTGGAACCTCGGCCCAGGTATAAAACTTAATCATCTCTTTACGATCTTTATTTTGGTATAATTTGAGGAATTTTGCAAATAGGTGAATTTTCTCACGAATTTGGGCCATTGGCCACTGCATGTGGCGGCCCGTGGCCCTAGACACCACTTGGCCTTTCCAAGCTAAATTTAATATCCTAATTCCATAATTGAAATCTGATTGACAAAATTCCGTTATTTGAACTTAGTTTCGTTAAAGTCCGCCACTTGACCCTCATAGCGAACGGCGATCTGGGATCATCACCAAAATTGAATGTGTTATTGTACGTAATATTTTGAGGACCATGTGAACTTATGGATTAGAAATATGACTTATGGATCTTCCTGAATTTTATTTCTAAGTTTGTAGGACCTATCGTTGACCATTACTCGAATTTGGCAATTGGAGGAGATCTAATTGTTGGATCGTCCTGAAATTTTAGTATATTGTTCTAATAACATGTTCAGACCCATAGGTAGTCACGGATAAGGAATCTAGTGGGCGGATCTTTTGTTAACTATTTCATTGATCACATCAACCAAGAGTCAACCTTTGGTCAACATGTTTCGAATCGTTCTTCATACTAAAGTTAGTATTACTAGATACTAAATGGAGCCTAGTGACCTATCTTGGTTAATGAACTATCCTAGTTAATGTATGTTTCAATTTACGTGCGTGTGATGCCTTATTGTGATATATATGTTTATTGAACTTCGAGATAACATAAATGAGATGTATGATTACTAGTATGAAAAATATAAGCTAGAACCTCGTTAAAATTATTCTATAGAACTCATATGTCTGTGTGGCTAGGTATTGGTTAGTTAAGTGACACTGATAGTATATACATTTGAAATTATGATTCATGCTGAACTGACGTAGGTTATAAAATGTACATTATCTAATTCGATGATCGTTTGTCTCCTAGGATCAATAATGTGTACACTAGTAATTAGAATTCATGTTGATTTGATGCTTGTTGTGTGATGATATGATTGCATCATGTAGCGATGGTACATGGATAGTCCTGCTTTGTATATCCGTGATGGGGGACCATGCGTATTTCAGGGGTGATCATGCTTAGTATATTCGTGATAGGTGATCACTGCCTACATTATTAGACTATGCTTATGGTTCTGCTTGGTTTATTCTCAATGAGGGACCATACGCATTCTAAGAGTGATCATGCTTGGTATATTTGCGACAAATTATCACTACCTAGAGTTAGGATATTGACATGCTTGGTATATTAGCAATGGGGGTCCATACGTATTTGAAGGGTGATCATGCTTGGTAAATCCGCGATGGGTGATCACTGCCTACATGATTAGACTATGTCTATGGTTCTGCTTGGTATATCCACAATAGGGGACCATGCGCATTCTAGGAGTGATCATACTTGGTATATCCGTAATAGGTTATCATTATCTAGTACTATAGGATAGGCTTCTGCTTGGTTATTCCGCGATAGGGGACCATACATGTTCTAGAGGTGATATACTTGGTAAAATAACGATGAGTGACTACTTCCTGGTTGGAATCTATTGAGTGGTCCGAAATTCTAGCTCTTGTTTTGTTTTGCTGGGTTAGTCAAAAACCCTATATTCTAATGAATAGAAATTAATTAGGGTAAACATTTGTTTTTGTAACTTAGGGTTACAATATTATTGCTTGGAATCCAGGTAGGGAAATACAGAGGCTTACCTTATTAAACTTTGTGAATCGATATTTGATATTATTGATTCATTAATGTAGTTAAATTATGCATCTTTGGCTCAATCGATGTTGGAAAACATTATGATTTATGTTAATGTCGTAATGGAAATCCTGGTCATGAAATGATTGCTTTTAGTATGGAATTTAATGAATTATGCTCGTCAAGTTTACTTGAATGATTATGGAATTCTATCCATTTTTGTCAGAAGTACTATGATAAATGTTAGAGTCGAAAGAACGATGAACTATGAATGGATTCCGATAGAGGGTACATAGGCAATCTAACACAGAGGTTAGGTGCATCCTTGTGAGTGTAAAAAAATTTCTACACTATTGACACATTGAAAGATGAAAAGGTGTGTGGTGATGTCATGCATCAATCCTGGTCGTAGCTCAGGATCGGAGTGTGACATAGTATCTTCTCATCAGCCTTGACATTCGGCTTACACCATGGTGACACTTGAAGCATATATTAATAATGGTGATGCTATTTGAACACACGAGACATATTTGTTGACTTGCTCTCTAATTCATGTGAGACTTATATAGACATGTACAATTAATGGTAAAACACACATGTATTAAAAAGTTAGTCAACCAATGTGATAAATTTTGTGTGATCAAATAGGTTTATCATATTACAATATAAGAACAAAGATTACATCATAACGAAAACATAAAAATAAAAATAATAAATAAATACTGAAAGAGTGAGGCTATTTGTGTACACGACCTTTACACACTTACATATTAACTCCCTAATACAAATGCGTATATCTAAATAGAGTGAGTCAGTAAATATATGTAAATTTTGTGAATCCAAATAGTTTTATTGAAACTGAAAAATATATAGTAAAATATAGAATTTAGTCCCTAATCCTTCTTTTCATATGCCACACTGCCATCTTCACATAAAGCGAATCTTGTACATTATCCAGGAATAAAAAATAAGTGTACCTCCATGAATTATTACGAACTAAAGAACCGCAAACTCCCCAAAATCCGACAATAAAACCTAGGGCTGCAAAAATATAAAACCAGGGAAGTTCATCGCGTTCATTATTCGCATCTTGGTCGACGTTGTTCTTATTGTCCTAATACACTCATTCACCTGTAACATTGGTAATCTACAGAGTTCTTTAGGAAATTCACCTGAAATCTGATTGAGTGATAGATCCACATAAAAGAGTTTTGGAAGAGTCCCCAACCAACTTGGAATTGACCCTGTGATTTGATTATTACCCAGAAATAAGATCTCTAGATTCTTTAGGTTTGATAACCAATCGGGTATCTGACTAGCAAGCCCACACTTAACCAAACTCAAGAAAAAAAGATTTTGGAAACTGTGAAAATCCACTATGCCATCATCAGTTGGCATTGCCTCGCGGTCAAACGAACCGATAAGGAAGAATGTGTGAAGACTTTTGCAACCCATTAATATCTTCATTGTCCCTGTGATATTAGTCAATCGTGCATGAGCAAGAGAAAGGAAGGACAAGGATTCCAATGAAAGAATCTCAGAGTGTATTTTTCCTTCTAGATAACAATTTCCACTCAACCGAATTGCTTTTAAGGACTTGCATGAGTAAAGGCTTATCAGCAAGATACCGGTGAAATTATTCCCAACTAGGTCAAGTTTACTAAGGTGGCTGAGTTTGGAGAAATTAAGTGTGGTGAGGTCTCCTTCCAAGTAGTTGAATCCCAAATGTATTTCTAGGAGGTTTGTGCATCTTATCAAAGATGGAGGCAAACTACCCTCTAAGCTGTTGAAGTCAAAATTCATGAATTTCAACTTGGAGAGCTTCCCAAAATTGATAGGAATCACACCACTCAAATGATTAAAGTAGAAGTCAAGGATTGTGAGGTTGGCGAGGTTGGCAATTCTTTCACTAATGGCTCCATTTAGTGAATTAAGAGGTAATGCAAATTCCTCAAGTTTGGTGGCGTTATAGATGTCTTCCGGAAGTGATCCTAACAAATTATTGTGATCGGCACGAAGAATCTGCAATTTGGAACACCCCCCGAGCCCACAAGAAATGTTGCCGCTAAATTCATTGGAGGAAATATCCAATACTCTTATGGAAGGAGAGGATCGAAGACAAATAGATGAAGGGATATACCCAAATAAGGTGTTGTTGCTGACATTGAAACTTGTCAAATTCCTAGCTTGTTGCAAAAAAAGAAGAGGGAATTGCACCATGGAAGTGATTGCTTGACAAATCTATTGTCTAAATATTTTTGGGTGGCAAAGAAAATGGTATCTCTCTAGAAGGAAGGTTATAGCTCAAATCAACAATCTTGAGGTGATTCAAGGACAAGAAGAATTTGGTTTCAAGTGTGCCACAAAGTGAATAGTGGGAAAGGTTCAAGTTGGTGAGATGTGTGAGATTTGAAAGTGATGAGACAAACATACCTCTTTTGAGCCCTTTGGAGGGTAAAAGCAAATGAGTGACCCAACCCTCATGAATACAAGTAATGTCGTTCCAACTACAACAATCAACATAAATACTCCAATTTACCGGAGGAGAAGATAGAGTGCGGGTGAAGGCCATGAGAGTGCTACGTTCAGTTTGGTTGTTTGCATGAATATTTGTTGGAGATATAATGAAAGAGAATAAGAAGACGAGGAGGAAGCCATGAGCCATTTTTTGAACTTAAATATTTATTGCAGTAACAAGTCTACATATATCATACACACACATATATATATATAGGAGCAACCAAAGGGATGGAGCTATGTACTTTTTTTTTTTTTTTTTTTTTTTTTTTTTTTTTTGTGTGTGGTCATGGACTCGAGAGGGGACCACACATAAAAACTAGCATAAAAGATAGTATTTCATTTTAAACAACTTTGACCGCACATTAATGTACATTTTCCAAACCCTTCAATACATGAAAGAGATTTTCCACAGTGAAAAAGGACAAAGTTTAAAATTTGAAATCACATAAAGAAAACCAAATATGTGTTTCTTCTCCATTGAAATGGGCTAGATTGTAGTAAAACGAAAAGGTTTATGAGTTGAAATGGGTTAAATTGTAGTAAAAGGTTTCTTCTCTTCCAGTATTCTTGAATAACTCCATTATATAAGGTATGTCAAAGTAAAAGGAAAAAAAAGGTGTTTAACGTGAAGGTAAAAGATGAATTTCTTATCAAGAAAACTCATCACCTTCAATTCCAAAAAATTGTATGATTGAAAGGGACAAGTTTCTTTCATGCCTAATCCCATTCTGATCTCCCAAAAATAAAAAGTCTTTCACCTCTATCTTCAATTGAGCCTGAACCTTATCCAATCAATCTCAAAAAAACGATAACCGCACGTTAATGTATATTTTCCAAACCCCTCAATGCATCGAAGAGAGATTGAGTCAAAGACAAATTTCCACAGTTCCACTTGTGAAAGCAAACTGAAAAGGACCTTGTTTTTAGAGTAAAGAAAATTTTGCAACCTTCTGTTTTACGGCTATGTACAATTTAATCTATATTTTATAAAGAGAATTGTTATTGGCACTCCAAAATCTCATTGTGGCACTTAAATTTTCTATAATTAGAAGGAAAAATACACTTATGAAGAGTGTAAAATAAGATTCTTGAAATGCTAATAACAGTTCATTTTTATAAATATTAATGTATTATTACTTGGTCTTTATGTGGAACTATAAACATAACCACTATTCTTTTAAACGGACCACGATCCTCTCCTAATTTAAGGATGAGGATCCTCATGACTAAGAGATGTGGGTCGTTGGATGAAAATCCAACGGTTACAAACAGGGGAGTCCCTTTAAAGTTATAATAATTATAACCGTTGGATTTTCATCCAACGGCCCACATCCCTTGATCATGAGGATCCTGATCCTTAGATTAGGAGAGAATCCTGATCCCTTTTAAACAACGGTTGATGGACTTGCTTTTTTTTTTTTTTGTCACATGACCACCAGATGTCAAATATGTCACTGTCACCGCCCATCTCTATTTTAAGAGGTAAGGGTTTTCATAAAAAGAATAAACAAAAGAATGTTTCGCTAATTTTTTCCCCAATTATTGTAAATGGCCAATGCCACTACTTACGTCATGTTTCCTACATTTCATCAAACCTTTGTAAAATGACACATACAAGAAAAGTAAAATAACAAATACATATTTAATGACCAGAATGTGACATTTTTTTTACGCAATTTACATGAAATGTGGGTAAACTATAATGGAAAATTGGTCATATATAATAGTCCAGGGAAATAGCTAAATGAAACTAGGATAAAATCGGCAAATACGGTATCGATTCAAGGGGAAAGACAGCGAAATCATTTTTTTATTTTTAAGTTTTTATTTGTTCTCCATATAATAATTGTTAATTAATTATGAGAATTATTATTGGCACTTCAAAAAATTGAATTATGCACTCTAAAGTTCTTATATTTAGAACGAAAGATACTTTTGTAAGAAGTGCAAATTAGATTTTTACAGTGTTAATAATAGTTCTCTTAAATATTTGTAATCAATATAACATTTTTTTTTAGCCCTATGGAGGGTAAGAGCAAATAACCCAACTCTCCTGATTACAAATGATGCCCTTCCAATGACAACAATAAACGGAACTACTCCAATGCACAAGTGAAGATAAGGTGAGGGCGAATGCCAGGATAGAGCTACGTTCTGTTTGGTTGCTTACAGCTAATAAGTCTGCACACACACACGTGTGGGAGCAACCAAAGGTTTGCAGCTGATTTTATTTTATTTTATTTTTAATAATTATTATTTATTTAATTTTTGCTTAGAATTATCCAAACCCCCATTTACTTTTGAAGAGAATTTCATGGCATGAAAGAAACCAAAAAGCGAAGACTTATTATGTTCTAATGATATTTCTTTTCATTTATAAATAGGACGTTTTAAGCTTAACTCATGTAAATTGTGAATTCACTACCAATATATTGAGTTGGCTTTCATTTTAATACTATTTAGTGACGTATACAGCATGCAAGAAAATAAAAGATACAACGTCTCTCAAGATTGCAGGTAAATTGTAGTAACCAGTTGAAAGTGAAAGTAGAAGATAAGTTTCTAATTAAGAAAAATCATCACTTTCAATTCCCAAGAAATGACAGGATGAAAATAGATAATTTTTTCTCTAATCCCTTAAAATCATTCACTCTACCTTTAATTTGAGCTTGAATCTTTGTCCAATCCAATCTAATCAATATTAAGCACCAAATGAGCATAAAAATTATCTTCGTATTGCAAACCGTTCAATACGTCGACGAGATTTCCTATTTCTTCCATTCCCAACTACCAAACAAGGCATAAAATTCCACACAATCGTATGATAGCAATAATGGATGGTTATTAAACAAATAAGATATAATGAATAGAATAATGCAAGAGAATATATATATATGAGCAAAAAAACAAAGACCTTAGTTTGCTGAGAAAACTGGCAAACAAGCATGACGGCACATTAAGGTACTTTTTGCCAAACCCTTATACACATCAAAGAGAGGTTTCCAAACCCTTCCATATGTCGAAAAAGATATCTCCAAACCCTCCAATACGCCAAAGAGAGATTTATGAACCCTTCAATATGTCAAAGATAGATTTCAAAACATTCATCGACTAAATAACCTTAGTTTTATTTTATTTTTTTGCATAGGCGATTTTTATAAAGTAATTTATAATATGAACGGTTCTGATTAAAAACATGAAGTTTTATGAATCGGCAACGAATACTTTTGAGTAGGAATTCCTACTCATCCTTTGAGTACCCAAGTATTGTCCGTTTTGTTATGAGAGTGATAGTGTTAGTGGATTAGATACCTAGTTGTTAGGGGGAAGGGGAATTAGTGGGAGAATCTACACTAAGGTGCATAGGCATGATTACTTTCCTTCACTATAGTAAAGCATCATCTGCATGATAGATTGTTATTATACAAAAAAGATTTCTCATTGGGGTTCAAAACAGAGGAACGCAAAGAGGTGAAACAGGGAATGTAAAAAGCAATCACTCCTCAAAACAAAATCATGATCCAATGGTCTTGAAGGATTGCATATGACATTAAAACTCATGATGCTTTAAAAATAACACAACCACTGAACCAGGATATTCTCTAAGATAACACCCATGTAAAAGGGACAAACTTTAAAATTTAAAATCACATAACGAAAACCAAATGTGTGTTTTGTGGATGCAAATTTCCGCCTTCTTCTCCTTTGACGAAAAGGCACCTACAAAATAATAACACCTAAGATGAATGGGGGGCCTTTGGCTAAGAGCCTCACACGCCCACGATGAATGGGGGGCCTTTGGCTAAAGAATCTCCGATGCCAAAGTTAGAATTTTAGAGAGAAAGTGTTTAGGGGATTTTTGGGACAAAATGAACATAGCATTTTAGTGGGAGAATAAGGCTATATATAGGGATGTGGCCGGCCCTCTTTGGAGAGATAGGGACTGACCATTTTTGGTAGAATTATGAGTTTAATTGCAAGATATTATGTGAAATAATATCTTGAAATTAATTTGGTAATCAATCTTAATTTAAATAGGATAATTGGGAGTTACCTTTTGAGTGAGGATTTGATGAGGAGTGATGGGAGGGTTTTGAATAAATATCATTTTGATCAAATTTGACTCTTCCTTGATTGAGCCGTTATTGTTTGTTGCATGCGCATGGGAATCCCGGTGTGCCTCGAGGGTAATTTTGTCCTTTTCACCCAAAAGTCCACGTGTCGCCTTCATAATTTTCTTAATTATTTTTTGCTCCACAAATGCCCCTACACTTGTTGGCTGCTTGTAAGAAAAGGCAGCAGGTGTAGAGATCTTCCCTTGCTTTAGGAAATGTAAGATTGTTTCCTATTTTGATGTAGATTCCCACATTAGTTGGAAATTAGATCATTCTAGGAAAGGGAAATAAATCACTTCTAAAGTTTATTTAAGTCTACCTTAAGTAGATGATTAAATCAACTTTAGAGAGCAATTTATTCTACCCTACAAGAGAGAAAAAGCTAGAGGATATTTGTTCCCCCTCCCCTAGAAATCTTCTACACTTGCCCGTGCAAATGACCGTATTTCGTTGTTTTCTTTGTCTTCTCCGTGCTGCACCGAGGTAAGAAAAATTTAATTTTCCTTATCTTCTTCTTGGATAGTGTTATCGCTGGGTAGTCGTCACGGTGGTGCGGCACGTCAGCTGGCATGGGCCGAGGAGTGTTGTGGAGCCAAAGGCAGCTGTGCGGCTGGGGCCGCGGATTGAGGCGTTGGGGCACAGTGCTAGGCGAGCCGCATGGTTCATGTCCTTTGGGCTCTTGAACTTGACGCGGGCCAGGCTGGCGATTGAGAGAAATGAGAAGGTCGCGGGCCTCATGGGCTACTAAGCATGCAAGCCTCCCGCCTGCTAGTCCGAGAGAGAAAAAATAAGGGAAAAACCAACATGGGTTGAGCTCCCCCACTAAGTACCGTGAATGGCATTGGCTACTTAATCCTCTTCGTCGGGAGAAAGGTGGGTTGCTCTCGAGATATGAGATAAAAAGGATCAAGGTGAATGCATTGGCTCATTCGATCGCTGTCGTGGAACCTACTATGAATAAAGGTGGAAATAAGAGATCTTCCCAACCTGCTTAAGAGATGCCGGTTGAGAAAAAACCGAAGACTTCCTCTACTGCTCGTAAGGGTCCGCCTAACGATATGTTTTGAGGTGGGCAAAAGCTTAAGATGATACTATAATTATAAATTACTCAAGATGATTTACATTTTGCCAAGATTTCAGAGAGGACAAATGAGTGACCAACTACTAATTATATCGGTATTGTTTTTCAGTGTGAGCTTTATCACATACACAACATAGTAGATGTGAGATTTTTATCATAAGAGGCATCAATGATATTAGACGTAAAGCCACTCAACTTAAGGCATTAATGTGGAATTTTTGTATTCATCAACACATTTTGTTTTATCTAATAGTTAGAAAATTATGTGAAAGGCCCATGAAAGCACCCCAAAGCTTAAGTTCCATCATGGTTTCTCTACCCAAATTAGCAGCAAATCCCTTAATCCATTCCCCTTTAGAATTACGAAGCAAACCTCCAACACTTATGTGGCTAAATGGGTCATTACAACTCCCATCTGTATTGATTTTATATCTACCAATTAGTAGGCAGATCCAATGCATTGAGATGATTTGTCTAAGAGGCTTACTAGAAGAACACTTGTTGGCATCATACCAATCCCTTGCAAATTGAAAAATGAACTTCTAGGGTGAGAGAGGCAATTGTTGGCCATCATTAAAAACAAAATTATTCCTCCATTTCCAACAATACCAGAGAGTTGAAATACTTTACGTATTTTCAATAGGTTGGAGCAACAATAAAAAAACAATTTGGGCCACTTCAGCATTTAGAAATTTTAGAATTAACATTATTGTTATTCGAGGATAAATACAATAAAAAATAATTTTTGCTTGGCTACATGAGTGTATTTTAAAAAAATAAACAAATAAACAACTAACAATACGAACCAACTAGCCATAAAAGATTATGCTTCATTGTCTTTTTATCACCATTTTCCATGTTACACATAACTGGTTCATCCTCTGCAAGCATGGCACCAAGTGTTCCAAACCCATCTCTCTACCCTTCTTGCCTTGCACTTGCTCACTATGCTTGCTCCCTTGTTCATATACTACACTCAAGGCCCGTAGAAATTCCGCCGTGACGTAGCTGAGTCATACTTTTCAGTCTAACCTCCCGGCTACGACTGCGCAGATCTTCTGCAAGAGGTTTGATCACCACAAGATAAAATGAATATGTCAGTAACATAATAGCTTTCAAACTTCTATCCAAAAATATATTATTATTTTTTCATAAAAATGACACTTTAATCCATGAGTCAAAACTTTCTAGCCGATGTTGTTACAAGTGTTGGTTAACATAAATGTTTGAGATATATCTAGGGGTGGTTCGGCATGGGATACCATACCGAAACTAGTATCCCGAATCCCAAACCAAAATTTTTCGGGACAGGAATTTGAAGACCAATCCCAAACCAAATTTTCGGGAATCCCAAAATATTTTAGGGATTTTGGGACAAATCGGGAATCCCAAATTGAAATATGAAATTATGAATTGTTCTTCAAATATATAATTCAAGAACACATTCATAAACTAGGAATTTCATTTCATTCACACTACTATTTAATTGAACACTGGCATGCCTGACTGTTTTTATCATAGTCAAAATTCAAATTAATTAAACCCTTTTTGCAATATGTTGAGAGACAAACTAATCAAGCCTTCTAAAATCATCAGCCATGACAGTAACAATAATAAAATCCACATGAATATCAAACAAAACATGAAAAATATGCAAGGTGTAGGGCATTCCAGGTTGCAGAGCATGAATTAGAAACTACTAGCATCAATTATAAAAGAATAATATATATATAATAATTAATATTATATATTTTTGGTTTGGTATGGGATTCCCGAAATATCGAGAAACCAATCCCGAATCCCATACCGAAATTTTGGGATCGGTTCGGGATAGCATCCCAAAAATTTCGGGAATTTCGGTTTGGGATCGGGATTTTTTCGGTTCGGTTCGGGATTTTTGGGAATTTTTTCCACCCCTAGATATATCCCTCCCTAATGAAGCTTAGACATTTTTTTTCTCTTTAACTACGCTGGTGTTGGTTGTTTTAGATATTTTTCCCATTAGTTAAGCTGATTTTTCTTTAACGAAAAGCTTCCGGTACTGTTCACTTTAACAAAAAATCATATTTTTACCCTAAAAAGGCAATCCTGGTACTATTTATTTTACCTTTTATTTTATTCTTATCGTTAAAACTCAAAATTTTCAAGTATTTTTCATTAGTTTTCCTAAATAAAAAACACACAAAAGACTTCAAAAATTTGACTAATGAAAATGGAACAACTAAAGTTAAAAGAATTCAAGCAGAAAACAAAGAACTAAATTAAAATGTAAAAATATACCTTGTCGCGGAACACGGTCTTGAGCTTGATTTCTCCCATGCCACCCATTTTTGTAAGGAAATAAATTTGTTTTTAGTAAATTTAATTGTCTCTCAAGCTTCTCTTCCCATGTTCCTTTACTTTCTTCATTCCTCCCCACTCTTTTTTTTTTGGTCCCCCGAAAATCTAAAAGCTTTAAATTGATAACCATGACCAAGAAAATTGTATTATGTACTCCCGCTATGAAAGAAAGATGTGTACAAGAGTATTTATAGAAACTGTGAGTGGCAAAACTGAGAAATGAATTGAAGTTCGTTAAAGTACCGACAAATATATGTTGGAGAGTTGACTTTTTGTAATTAGCTTAGTCACCTTTTTTTTTAGTCCTTATAATCAGATTGTAATTAGGTTATTTGATGTTTATTTCTTTCCTTGTAAATCACTCTTGTACATTATATATTTTCCTCTTTGGTGAGAATAATGATATCAGAAAATTAAGCCCCAAAGATAAGCTCTAATTAGCATGGTATCAGAGCAAAGATCCTAGGATTTATGCTCTGCCCGTTCCCTCAAGCAAACTCGGCCCTCCCATGAAGAACCTACCACCATTCCACGGTGGAAACAATTTCATCCTAACTGATCATACCCCTATACTAAGCACTACAACCCTAAACACTACTACCCTAACTGACCCTACCATGAATCCTCCTGTTTCGAGTTCTTAAGACATGCCTCCGGAGTCCTCAGGTAACTATGGTTATGCTTTTAATATGAATAATTGTGATACTCAATCCGATTGGATTTTTGACTCTGGTGCCATAGATCATATGACCTATGAACCCATTAATTTATCTTGTGATATTGTTCCACTTCGACGAAATATTACTAAAATATTACTAATGCTAATGGTGTCACCTCACCGGTAACTGGTGCTGGCATTGTACGCTTCACGCCTACCCTCTTTTTGCCGCATACACTACTTGTACCTTCACTAAAGCATAAATTAATGTCTCCTGGCCAAGCTACCGAGCAATTGAATTGTTGTGTACTATTGTATCCGAAGTTTTATCTTATTCAGGATATTCTCACGAAGGAGATAATTGGTCGTGGTACTAAGAGGGGGGATCTCTATTTTGTGGACGATGTCAGTACAGGACGGGTCAATCTCGCCCAAATAGCCGTTGATCACAAACGGCATCAAATATGGTTATGGCATCACCGTTTGGGTCATCCGTCTTTCAGTTATTTACAACATATGTTTCTGGATTTATTTGTTGGTTGTTCAGTTTCAGACTTTATATGTGACACTTGCATACTTGCCAAGAGTCACCATGTCTCTTTTCCGTTGAATTCTAATAAAAGTGATATTCCTTTTGGTCTTGTTCATTTGGATGTTTGGGGACCATCTTCGATTACTACTTCATTTGGTATTAGGTGGTTTGTAACATTCATAGATGATTGCACACGGATGACACGGTTATACCTTCTTAAGCGTAAAAGTGATGTGTTGCTGGCATTTAAGACATTCCACACCATGGTTCAGACACAGTTTTCTACTAAAATCTGGATTTTGCATTCTGATAATGGTGGTGAATATGTTAATAATGATTTTACACATTATTTAACTAATCACGGAATCCTCCACTAGACTACTTGTCCTCAGACTCCTCAACAGAATAGGGTGGTTGAGCGCAAAAATCGCCATCTATTAGAAACAGCTCGATCGCAATTGATTGGGGCGGATGTTCCCCGCTCCTCTTGGGATGTTGCTCTTCGAACTGCCACTTACCTTATCAACCGTATGCCATCCAAAGTATTGAATTTTCTTGCACCTTTGCAAGTTCTTGCTACATTCGTGCCTCTACTGTCTGTTTTGGTGCTCCCACCGTAAGTTTTTGGATGTGTTGCCTTTGTTCATCTACATAAAAATCAACAAACAAAACTTAACCCGTGTGCTCTCCGGTGTGTTTTCATGGGGTATGGATTACATCAGAAAGGGTACCGTTGCTACCACCCTCCTTCATGTCGGATGTATACTACCATGGATGTTACTTTTTTCGAGTCTGAGATGTATTACTCTTCGGCTTCTTCCAACCCTCCTTTTCAGGGGAAGACACTGCATGACGAACAGGTTTGGACCATGGCTGCTGCTACCACTGATCTTCCGTTGCCACTATTAGCCGAGCCTGCAGTGGCTGCACTGCCAGCCCAGCCAACAGAAGCAACATCACTGCCCACAAAACTAGCGACAGGCACTGCAGTGCCGTGCTTACCCACGACAACAGTGCTACCACTTGTCGATCTTGATACTTCTACTGATACTACTCCCCCTCGTCTCAAAATATAACACTACCAGATGACCATACTCTAAAAAATATTCCTGAGGTAAGATCTATTATCCCTATTGATGTATCTGATGTTCCGAATTATCAGTTACCTTTCAGGCACAACCAGGGAAAGCCACCCAATCGATATTCACCGGAAACAACGAAAGGCTCTAAATATCCCATTCCCAACTATGTGTCATCACATAAATTATCAGAACCCGGCAAAGCTTTTATACAACAAATATCCAATGATAGCACACCAAGTTCATTAAATGAGGCACTATCTGATGATCGATGAACCAAGGCAATGGAGGAAGAAATGGATGCACTTCAGAAAAATCAAACATGGGATTTAGTTCTGCTACCCCGAGGAAATAAGAGAGTGGGATGTCAATGAGTGTACACCATCAAGTACAAAGCTGATGCGTCGATTAAATGATACAAAGCACGATTGGTGGCCAAAGGATTAATACGGTATGAGTGTTACTTTCGTTGGCGGCTAACTTGGATTGGCCATTACAGCAATTTGATGTGAAAAATGCTTTCTTACATGGTAATCTTAAAGAAGAAGTGTTTATGGATATTCCACCTGGTTATGCATCGGTTTCACAACCCGAACTGGTGTGTAAGTTGAATAAGGCATTGTATGGATTGAAACAATCACCTCGGGCATGGTTTGGTAGGTTCCGGATGGCTATGAGGAAGTATGAGTTCAGGCAGAGCAATTCTGATCATACACTTTTCTTGAAACGTCTAATGGGTAAATTGACGACACTTATTATTTATGTGAATGATATGATTGTTACAGGTGATGATAAAGAGGAAATCTCAAGGCTGAAAGATTACTTAGCAACTAAGTTCGAGATGAAAGATCTTGGTGGATTGAAATATTTCTTGGGTATAAAAGTAGCTCGATCTAAACAGGGTATATTTCTATCTCAAAGAAAATATGTTCTTGACTTGTTAGTTGAAACTAGAATGCTTGATTGTAAACTGGCTGACACCCATATAGTCCAAAATCACCATCTTACCGTGCACCCTGATCAAGTTCCCATTAACAGAGATCGTTATCAAAGTTTAGTTGGGAGGTTAATTTATTTATCTCACACCAGGCCTGATAATGTATACGTAGTAAGTGTTGTTAGTCAATTTATGCATTCTCCAAGTGAGGCACATAAGGGTGCAGCTGAACGCATCCTACGATACCTAAAGTCCTCACTAGGTAGAGGTATCACGTTTTTCAAGAATGATCATTGCCGAATAGAGGATTACACCGATGCAGATTGGGCAGGCAACGTTACTGATCGTCGGTCCACATCTGGTTACTTTACATTTGTGGGAGGAAACATAGTGACTTGGCAGAGTAAGAAACAGAAAGTGGTTGCTTTATCAAGTGCAAAGGCAAAATACAGGGGTATGGCAAAAGGAGTATGTGAACTATTATGGCTTCAGAGGTTACTTGGTGAACTTGGGTATCCTTCAAATTCAGCCTCAAATCTATTTTGTGATAATAAAGCAGCTATCGATATCTCACACAACCCAATTCAACATGATCGCACAAAACACGTGGAAGTTGACAGACACTTCATTAAGGAGAAGTTGGATGGGAATCTTATTCAATTCCCGTTCGTAAAGTCAGAAGATCAATTAGCAGATATCTTAACTAAAGCTATTGCAAGTCAAGCGTTCTACAACTCTATTGTCAAGCTGGGCATGAACGACATTTATGCACTAACTTAAGGGGGAGTGTTGGAGAGTTGACTTTTTGTAATTAGTTTAGTTACCTTTTTTTGAGTCCTTATAATCAGATTGTAATTAGGTTATTTGATGTTTATTTCTTTCCTTGTAAATCACTCTTGTACATTATATATTTTCCTCCTTGGTGAGAATAATGATATCAGAAAATTAAGCCCCAAAGATAAGCTCTAATTAGCAATATATTACAGGTGGCACGTGAAAAAATCAGAGAAACTGGATGTAGCTAAAAAAAATGCTAAGGATACCAAGTTTTTAGCAAGGTTCTAAAAGACGCTAGGCGCTAGTCGGGTGGCGAGCTGGGGCCTAGCGCCTAGGCGGCTAGGCGGGCGCCTAGGCGGACTCGGCATATTTAACTAAATCCATTATATTTCATGTAAATAAGTGTATGTTTATACTTAAAATATATATAATTTCATCATAAACTACAAAATAGAATAACACATATATTATGAAGTATTGGAACATAATGAAAACATGGGGAACAAGCATATAATGTGTGCTGATTTAAGTATTTGACAAGTCTCTTACAATTTATTGAAAAATAAAATAAAATGCAAAATGAAAGTTATCTATTTTTTGCCTAAGTGAGTCGATGCCTAGGCGGTTTAGGCAGGCACCTCAGTAGGTCTATGGGCCCTTTCTTAATTTTCAAACGCCTAGGAGCGGGCGCCTTAGTAGGTCTATGGGCCATTTCTTTATTAATACTTAATTAATAAAGATCCTGACATTTTTTTATTTTATTTTTATTTTTTTATTTCAAGAATGAATCTAGCCATATATTTGTTCTCTATGTAGCATCACCATAAGGCTAACTAATAAACAAATATATCACTATCAGGTGAAGACCACAGAAACTGTAGATAACGGACAAAATCCAATTGAAACGGATACGACACATAGCATAATGATCCTGACATTTCATGTGATAGAATCTTATATATTTTCTTTAAAAAGAGCTCTAGAAATTAAATACTATTGAATTTA